ATTTTATAATTCCTTACAGCCTATTTCACAGAACCATTCAACAAGATATAATTTTGTCTTTATAGCCATTTCTCCAATAATCAGCAACACTTTTAAATTAACCCCGAGACTCTAAATACCTCTTTCTCCAAGGCATTTCAGGAAATCCCTCAACATTCTTCCGGAATCCTTGTGTTACTACTTCTTCCACTGCTGTTACATATTGTTTAATTGGAATGAACTCAAATCTGACCCTGTAGTGGGTTTTCAGAAGCAGTAAATCACACAAGAGGAGACTGCATATTTTTCTCCTGTGGAGCAACAGGAGGATTCAAACTCTGCACCTTTGGATTAGCAGTGTAACTTCTTACCACTACGTAGTTAATTTCCAAAGTTTCTGGCTGCATCCCAACATATTTCCTTTATATTCACTTTCTTGGAGGTGGAGAACAGTAGTATAGTTAGCATAACAGTAGTATAACAGCGTATCTATACCTTTCAAACTTCATTTGGTAACATTATGGAGTAGGACGAGATTAGGACACTACCTTGCCAACTTTTTCTTTTCTTTCTTATGGCTGAAATATGTCCTTTTGCTTTGTTTGTGGGATGACAAAAGTAAGACATATATAAATTAATGCTCTTTCTTATCTTTTATCATTTTAAAACTAATTTTCTTCTATTTTATTAGGGGACAGTTGAACAATAGATCTGAAGAATGTTAAGATATTAAAAAACAAATGAAATGAAAATGATTGTTTTTGGTTTATGAAAAAGAATAGGTTTAGCAGACATTGTAGAATACAACAACCAAATATATGGCCTTCAAATTGATTTTAAGTTACAGTGATCATTTAGGAGAGAATAGAGCTACCCTATAGGGTTTCCAAAGCTGTGGCTTTTTTTTTAAGAAAACATTTTTAAAATGTGCAACAATGAATGAATGAAAATCCAAGTTCTTTATAAACTTTCATTAAAATATAAAAGATTTCAACCCCCCATTCCTTCATTGACATTATGCTTCATACAATCATTCTCATACATTGTGTTTTAGAAGATTAATCAGTATTGGACTATGCCCACCATTACCGTATCTTTCAGATCCCTACTGGCTCTTTCCCACTCCCTTTACCCATCCCTGTCTCCTGTCACATCTTTTTCCTGTGGTTCTGCTGATTGGTTTGAATTGTTGCCCTCTCAGCAGCTGAGAACTTACTCCTTTGCAAACTATATAGGAGAACAAATTACCTCATATTCCAAAGTTAAATTAAGCTTCACAATTTGGTATCTATTTCTTCAATTTTTTTACTTTGGAGTTTCTTTAAATTGCCTTTCCAGAAGTGTTAATTTTAAGTGAATTCCCTGTGCTTCCTCAGAAAGACTGAGTTAGATTATGTCTTTTACCTATACAAAGTTGAGTTTGTAATTGAATATCATTAAGATCATGCATTGGTGATTTGTACTATTCTTGTTCTTCCAAAAGCTTGTATGGTGAAATTAACTTTAATTTAAAGCTCTTTTTGCACTCATCGGAACATTCTACTCCCATGTTCAGCTCTATTCTATGGAGTATTCCAATTAAATATTTAACATGACTTACTTTCTCCAAGATAAACTTGCTTGCCTATTTTCTCAAAGAAAGCAAGTTTATCTTGAAGGAAATGCATCCGGAGTGCTCCTTAGGATGCAAAAATAGTGAAATTTCATTTCATATACTTTGGGCATGTTATGAGGGAACAATTCTTGGAAAAAAAAACATCATGCTGGAAAAAGTGGAGGATCAGAAAAGAGAAGACACTGAACAAGATGGGTTGACAAAGCGACTGTAACAGTGGGTTGAGCATCTCAGAGATGGCGAGGTTGCTGCAGGATGGGATAAGGTTCAGATCTGTTGTTAATAGGGTCTCTGGCAAGAAGTTGTGCTGCAATCCCATCGGCATGTGGTTTGAGGCCATCAGCTGCTCTACAGGAGAAGGATTGGCAATCTCTTACTGTGCAATTAACTGCCCCTGAAAACCTGCTGGAGGGTCAGTTCTGGGCAGGTTCCAACTCAACAACAGTGGATATCAATTGACTAAATAGTGCTTAACAGCACACCACCATCTATGTTATTCCACAGTCCCTCTTTATTTACAAATTAAGGGAATATTTTGTTCTCCTTTTTCTGTAATTTTCACATTCCTCTGCTTTTTCTTTACTTTTATCTTTTGCTCTACCCTTATCCCTTACCTCTTGAACAGTAATGTTTAGAACATGGCATTATGAAAATACAGATTGTTTCTTTGATTATAATGTAAAAATGAAACTTTTTAGATTCTAGTCTGGTTGTGGAGAAGGTATGTGGCCATATTTCAAACACTTTCTATTGGAAACAACTTCCTAGAAAACATACTTCTGGAAACCCTATGAACTTTGAGAAGCAACCATAGGCTTCAGGTCTTTTGTTCACAGGGTTGCTATGAGTCATGCTTGACTCAATGGCAATCAACAACAAGAAGGACTATAAATAGATACACTCTTCACGTATCAACTGTATTATTATATGACATTTTATATTTACAAAAATTTGGAAAAATTCTTAGGCAATGTCTCTGACAGTCTAGGTCCTACATTAGGCTACATTTGGCCCAAACAACCTTCAATGGGTCACCTCAAATGATACACTAGAAGTATTAGTGATAATTATGCCTTACAAGGGGTGGTGGCTGACTGGTTGCAGAATTTGTTCTCTCTTTAGTGTATGACATCTCAATCTGACCATGAGGGCTTGGGTAATGATGGGACAACCTGAGGTTGAAGGCAGATGGAGAGAAGCCAGAAGAGGGTCTGAAAGTGGTTGAGAGGTCAGTAGGGAAAGGTAAAAAGAGGGGACTGTATGGGACTGAGGATGAGCAAAGTCTTCCCTTAGGGAAAAAAGGCAGGCAACATTTGATCACCTCAAGTGAGCCTGAGGTAGTGTGAAAATTGAATAGGGAAGGGGTAGGGGCTACCCTTTGGGTGGTGAGTGATGATGGGATGTGGCGGAAGTGAGAAATGGTGCCAAATGTCGGCATGACTTTGACCTTTACATAAGGCAGGTTTACATGGAACTTAACTATGTTTACAAGTGAAGAGCAGGTGTATAATTCCATTTGAAAGTATGAAACGGAATTTTTCTTTTTTTTCCATTAATTAGTTTATGTAACTTATAGAACAGTGGATTACTTGACCATGACTTTGTTCTAAAGCAGTTTAATTACTTGAACTGTTATAATATTTAAATTTTATTCTCATTCCATCCCCATCTAAACTATCCATTTCTAACCTCAGCCTTGGATAGCTAGTATTGTTTGGTATTTCTTCAATGATGTAATTGAGGTAAATGATGCATTTGTTCTTTCTTTTATCATATGTTGTTGTATTCCATCTATTTGGAACCAACTCATAGCTGACCCTCCAGTGGGCTTTTAGAGGCAGTAAATTCCATGGGAGGAGACTGACCAGCCTTCTCCCATGGAACAGCTGGTGGGTTTGAACCATGACCTTCTGTGATTGCATCCTAGTTTCTTGAGTACTATGGAATTTCAGAGATTAAGTCTTTATGGCACCCAGGGACTTTGTCTCAGACTTCTATCCTCCTTCTAGTATATAGCAAACAATGTCATTTCCTTTCCTTTGATTTATTGATGTCATCATTTTGTATACCTTAAAATAAACCCTCCAGGATGCTAAGAAGGAAAGAGAGGAAACAATTTTATTTTGAAGTTATGAAAGTATTTGGAACAGGAATATAACTGTTTCACAGCAAAATAATGAAATTTATGTTTGTTCTTAATGTCTCCTTAATAACCTTTCTCCACTTATTCTTGATTTCAAGCAGATAAAGGACTATAAAAAAAGATTTATACTGTACTTATTACCTAAAGGATGAATGAGTGGAAGTTACAAGGTGGCACATCTTGAGTCCCTATAGGAATAACTAATTAATAGTCCAAACAGCCCAACTATAGCATTAATTCCTGGGTGATCTAGCCTGATTTATAATACTACTTGTTCTTTTGAATAAGAATGCAGCAGGAAAAAAGAATATGCAACTACACATGGTTTGGATTTTAAAATGATCCAGGAGTAAGTACAGATGAGGGTTGAAGATAAAGGAGTGATTTTTAGAAGAAGAAGCTGAAGTATGAGAATAGAATCTATGGGATATATAGGTGAATAAAATATAAAAGCCCCTGTGGATAATTGTGAGAGCTTGGTTGTCAGACAACAATTTTTAAGGACTCAACGGAAGGTTTGGTTGTGACGAGGGAAGACAAAAGAATTTGGTATTTGGTTTTGGGCATCTTAGTTTTAAACTGATGATGAGATATTTCAGCAGATGAGTCTAGCAGGCATTTGGTAGAAATATCACCCACTGATGCTGAACACATTAGTGGACTCTGGCTGTATAGAATTCATGCTATTGATTGGGAACTGACTCATAGCTGATCCTCCAGCAGGTTTTCCGAGGATGGAAATCACACAGGAGATTTCCCAACTTTCTCCTGCAGAACTGGTGGGTTTTAACCAACAGAGAAATTAGGCTTTTGGGTAAGCAGCACAACTTCCTGCCCACTACACCATCAGAGTTCTCTACAAAGATATATAGACTTTATATATTTATTTAATGCTACATAGATAAGTACATAAAGACTGTCTATAAAGATATATACACACATATATCTTTGTGTATTACTTCATTACATGACAGATTTTGGATTGAACAAACAGGCCAAAAGGCTTTTGAAAGACTGGAAGTTTGAGTTTGGATAAACTCTCTGAGCCTCAGAGAAGATACCTAATTAAAGATTCTAAGAGAAGAGTTCAAGGGCAGTAAGTGGCTGAAATAGGAGGAGAGATGAGGATTTGTAAGTGTTCTTGCTGTGGAAACTAACTCATGTTTTTACTTTTAGCCCTGCTAATCTTAGGTTTAATGTGGAAGACAGATATACTGAAATTCCTCCCTTAAAGACTGCCAAACAGAAAGGTGGATGATCCATATGGAAGTCATCTCTACAGAAAATCTAACTGCTGAATTTGTCCTCCTTGGCTTTTATGACTTCCCTGAACTTCATTTCCTGTTCTTTATTGTGTTCACAGTTGTCTATGCCTCCATTGTCATAGGGAATATGCTAATCATTGTGGCAGTAGTGAGCTCTCAGAGGCTCCACACACCCATGTATTTCTTTCTGGCTAATCTGTCCTTCCTGGAGATACTCTATACCTCCACAGTGGTGCCAAAAATGCTGGAGGGCTTTTTGAAGGAAGCAACTATTTCTGTGACTGGCTGTTTACTTCAATTCTTTATTTTTGGCTCTCTAGCCACGACTGAATGCTTTCTGCTGGCGGTCATGGCCTATGATCGCTATCTAGCAATTTGCCACCCTCTCCGTTACCCATTACTGATGGGGCCTACTTGGTGCTTGGGGCTGGTGGTTATATCATGGATGTCTGGTTTCATGGTAGATGGACTTGTTGTGATTCTAATGTCACAGCTGAGGTTCTGTGGCCCAAATCTCATTGACCACTTTTACTGTGACTTCATGCCTTTGGTAGAGCTGGCTTGCTCAGATCCAAGAGTGGCCCAGATGACAACCTTCATTCTTTCCGTGGTCTGTCTCACTCTTCCCTTTGGACTGATTCTTACATCTTATGTCAGGATACTTGTGGCTGTGCTAAGAGTACCTGCTGGGGCCAGCAGACGAAAGGCTTTCTCCACATGTTCCTCCCACCTAGCTGTAGTGTCCACCTTCTATGGGACTCTTATGGTCTTGTATATTGCACCCTCTGCTGTCCACTCTCAGCTCCTTTCCAAAGTTTTTGCTCTGCTCTATACTGTGGTCACTCCTATCTTTAATCCTGTGATCTACACCCTGAGGAACAAGGAGGTTCATCAGGCCTTGTGGAAAATTCTCTATATTAAGAAAATGGAAACACTTAATTGAAAGAAGAAGGTAATGAATATTATCTTTTGGACTTTTGACATCTCCAGCTGGAAGTCTTCCAAAACTTACTGGAGAACAGCAGTAATTTTTATGTTTTAAGGTTTTATTAGCCTTTTATTATTGTTGTTAATTAATTAATTTAATTAATTACTATTGAGTCTGTTTTGATTCAAAGAGATCCTTTGTACAATATATGAACACCTGGCTGATGTTCAGTAATCCTCACATCTGAAGATATAAAATATCAACATGAAAACAAACCTAAATATATTATACTGGTATTACATGACATTTCATAATTTTGTTTTCTATACATATCAGTCTGAACAATAGCACTTGCAATCTGGTTTTCCACGAAAAACTATGTTACAACTATCTTTCTATATAAGTAAGTACAAGGTACATTTATTTTATTGTTCTGGGTTTCATTCTGTGACTGGACATAATCTATTTAATGAATTTAGAAATTTTTATGTTTATTTAATTCTTTTACTGTACAAATATCTTTTATATCTGTTATTTTCATAAGATTAATTCTTAGTATTTGAATTACAAGATCTAAAAAATATATAATTAAAAAATTAACACTTGAATATATGAAATTCTTTGTTATAGAAAATTTCAAAGATACAACAAAGTAGAGAGACTAAGACAACAAATCCTTATGTTGTTATCACCCAGCTTAACATCATTTTGTTAATCTTGTTTTAACCACCTATAACTTATCTTTTTTTAGATTTGCTAAAACATTTAAAGCAAATTTTAGATATTATGTCATTCTATGTGTAAGTACTTTTATATGATCTATTTATTAAAAGTACAAATAAAACCCTTTAAAAATCTGTTGACTTTGTCATTATAATACTTAATACAATTATCAATATTTTCTTAATGTCATCTAACACTTAATTCATATTCAAATATTTCCAACTATCCAATGGTTTTTAGTAAGCAATTTCTTGAAATTGGGAACCAAACAAGATTCAGACAATGTATTTTGTTGTTATATTTGTTAGTTCCTTTCATTTTACAGTAGTTCTTGTATTCTTTTTCTTTATGACATTAACTTGTTAGAAAAATCAGGCTATTTGCTCAGTAAAATGTTGCATATTCTAAGTTATATGTGATTTTTCAGTTTCTGTCCTTATATCTAGGAGCCCTGGTAGCCACCCCTGGTGGGCTGAAGGTAGACTGTGAACCCAAAGTTTTGCAGTTCAAATCCACCAACCTCTCCATGTGAAGAGGTCTCTTTCTGTTAAGATTTACAGTCTCATACTACTTGCTGGTGGTCCTCCATGAGTCAGAGTCAAATTGACAACAAGGAATTTGGTTTTCTTGATCTTTATACCTAAGGAGCCCTGGTGACAATGTGGTCAAAACATTTATCAGTTAATAAAAAGTTTATTATCCATCAACTGTTCCTTGGGAAAAATATGACAGTCTTCCATTATGATTTACAGACTTGAGAAATCCTATGAACAGTTCTACTCTGTTCTACATGGTGACTATGAATTGGAATCAATTTGATATCAGTGAGATGGTTATTCTTAAATCTTATATTTCATATAAACTTATAGTTAGATTTAGAGGCTTGATTAGATCTTCATTACTTTTTTACCTCCTTTTCCAGCAAGGGTATACAAACATTACTTTGTTATTTATATTGCATTATATAATAAGACATACTATGTTTGATTGTCTCACTTTTACTGACACTAATTATCTTAATGACAGAGTTCATAAAGCATCAGATTGATTTATCACTCAGTTTCTAATTCATCATTCATTTAATATTTATGTCAGATTGATTTATCATTCAGTTCCTAAATAATCATTCATTTAATATTTATCACCTCCTGCTAAAAGTCACTGATTACTGTCTTTTAGTGTTAAGTACTGTTGAGTTAGTTCTGAATCACAGTGATTCTGTCTTTAACAGAACAGAACAGAACAGAACAGAACAGAACAGAACAGAACAGAACAGAACACTGCTTGGCCCTGTGCTATTCTCACAACCATGGCTATTTTTTAATCTATTGTAACAACTACTGTGCAAATTCCACTCATTGAGGGTTTCCCTCTTTTCCCCTAACCTTCTACTTTACTTCTTTGGGGCCTGACCCTCTTGATAACATGTCCAAGTTATGTGAGAAAAAGCCTCATTATCCTCTTTTCTAAGGAACATTCTGGCTGAACATCTTCCATGCACATTTCCCCCATTTGCCAGTAATCTACAATATGTGAAATATTTACCAGCTTCATAACTCAATGTAGCCATTTCTTCTTTGATCTTTCTTATTAATTCCTAGTTTTGAATGCCTGAGTTGATGGAAAACACCATGGCTTGGGTTAGGCACAACTTATTCCTCACTTTTCAGCACTCTAAAAGGATTTTATGAACTATATAAAAAAGCATGGCATTAGGATTGGAGGAAGACACATAAGGAACCTGCTTTACACAGATGATACAACCTTGCTTGCAGAAACTAAAAAAGACTTGAAACACTTAGTGAAGAAGAGCAACAATTGTTATTGTTGTGTACCATAAAGTCAGAACTAACCCATAGCGGACCCTCTGGTGATTTTTTCAGAGGCAGTTAATCACATGGGAGAAGATTGCCCATCCTTCTCTTGCAGAGATCAACAACTACCACCTTTAATATTAATTGCATCTCAACAGCAAGAGAACATAATGAATGAAATGGTCAATGATTTAATTTTGTTAGGCTCTATAATTAACATCTTTGGTAGCAGGAGTCAAGAAATAAAGAGATGTGCTGCATTGTGAAAATTTGCTGTCAAGAATATCTTTACAGTCCTGAAAAGCAAGGACGCCAGTTTATAGACTAAGCCAAAGTTTTTTTCAAATGTTTTCCATGAACATAAACATTGGACAATAGATAAAAAAGACCAAAGAAGAATTGATGTCTTTGAATTCTAGTGTTGGAGAAGAGGATTAATTATCTCATGGAAAGTTGAAAGAAAAAACATGTCTGTCTTCGTGCAAGTGCAATCCTAGTGTTCTTTTGTGGCAAGGATGGTGAAACTTTATCTCAAATATTTTGGGTATGTTGTCAGTAGGTGCTAGTTCTTGGGAAAAGATATAAAGCTGTGAAAAGTACAAGGTCAACAAAAGAGAGGAGGACCCTTACTGAAATGGATTAACAAAATGAAAGTAACGAAGGACTTGAGCATGCCTGAAATAATGAATATGATACAGATAGGACAAAGTGTTTTTCTTTTTTAAATTTATTATTAATTTCAATGAAAATTTACAGAGATTATGGATTTCCATTCATTCATTGTTGCACTTTTTCCTCTCCCAACCCTCCCCCCTGGTATACTACCCTCTTGGAAAAGTAAAAGAAAAATTCTTTCATTGTTTTACAATTCCTTCCCCCAGGTCCACTCCACTATGCAGCCTTCACTCTGGACTCCTGTCATGACAACAATACCTAATCACATATCCCTTTTAAACAATTTTCTCCCTTATCTGTTTCAATGCCATATACATTATTTATCCCATCTTTTTCAGTCTCCCCCCAACCCTGAGGTCAGTCCTGTTTTACAACAGTGGCACCATGAAGTATGTATCCTTTTGTGACTGAGACACTTCATTCAGCATAATGTTCTCCAGGGTTACCCATTTTGAATAATATTGCATGAGTTCCTTGTTTTTCAGTGCAGCATAGTATTCCATTGTGCGAATATACCACAGCTTCTCTATCCATTTGTTTGTTGATGGGCACTTAGGTTGTTTCCAACTCCTTGCTATTGTGAACAAAGCTGCAATAAACGTGAGTGTGCATATATCTGCTTGGATGTCAGTTATAGTCTCTTTGGGGTATATTCCCAGTAGTGGAATTGCTGGGTCAAATGGTATCTCTATTTGTAACTTTGTGAGAAAGTGCCATACCACCTTCCATAGTGGTAGCACCATTTTACGCTCCCACCAACAGTGAATAAGTGTTCCAGTTTCTCCACAACCTCGCCAGCATTTGTTGATTGCTGTTCTGTTAAATTTTGCTATTTTTACTGGAGTGAGATGATATCTCATACTTGTTTTTAGGACTAAGTTTTTATATGTTCATAGAGTACATTTGAGTTGTAGTAATTTGACAGCCTCTAACAACATCAGTGATCAAAGACCCGTTTAGTTATTGGATGAAATAAAAGATATCACCGATGAAGAGAGCAAAAGGTAGTTACAAAGACAGAAGAGGGGGTAAAAAGAGACCAAAATAGATGTCAGAAGAGACTCTGAAAATTACACTAGCGTGTAGAGAAGCCAAAACAAAGGGATGAAATATGGAAGTAAAAGAAATTAACAAAGGGCAGCTTGACAAGACGAAACAAAATATTAGAACAGAATGTACAAAGAGCTTAAGTTGGAGAATAAAAAGGGAAGAACTCACTCAGCATTCCAAGAGCTGAAAGAACCGAAAAGCAAATTCAAGACACAAATGGCAATACTGAGAAATACTCTGGGTACAATATTGAATGATCCAGGGAGCATCAAAAGAAGATGAAGGGAATATACAGAATCACAATGCCTAAAATAATTGGTTGACATTAAAAAAATTCCAGGAAATATAATATGAACTATAGCTAATGGTAATGAAGAATTTCAAGCTGCACTGAAAGCATTTGCAAAAAAATAAGACCCGAGGAATCAGTGAAATGCCATGTGACATGTTTCAAAACTAGATGCAACATCGGTTGTGCTCATAAATCCATGTCAGGAATTTTGGAGAACAGCTGTTTGGCTGATTGATAGGAAAGATATTTAATTTGTTCCCATTATGAAGAAGGAGAGTTCAACAGAATGTGGGAATTATTCAACAATATCATTAATATCACATGCAAACAAAATGTTGCTCACATGCAAAATATTGCTGAAGATTATCCAAAACTGGCTAGAACAATACATTGACCAAGAACTGCCAGAAGCTAAAGTAAAATTTAGAAGAGGCTGTGGTACCAGGTATATCATTGTGGAT